TTTCTCTAGGGATATGGCTAAGCTGCTTGCCCTTCGTGCACGCAGTGAGCTCCGCTATAACGCCTAGCCTCACATTCGTATCCTAAAAGTACACCCACCCAAATGGAAATGGTTAAATCTGTTATGCAGCCAAGAATTCAGATAACAGCCTTAATCGTAGAAAAGCCCGTAGGTGTGAGGTTTGTTTTCTTTGCGTTTCTTAGGTCGTGTCTTGTCGTGTCGCCTCTTTCGCTCGCTGCATGACTTCGCTGACTTTAACTGAAAACGCGATAGGTTGACTCCCGTTTTTCAGAATAATTTTGAAAGGATTATTCTTCGAAATATCATTCATTCTCGGAAAGAAGGTCAGACTTAAAGTGGTTTCTGTGAATGTGTGGATTTACTTTTCATATTGAACCCTTTAACTCTCAGAAGTGATTAACATGTGAGTTCTCCCTATAATATCCTTCTATTATCCAGCAAACAGGTAATGAGAGTACTCAAGCTTATCAGCTAGATATTGTTAACTTAATCTGGCTTCAAATTCTCGGAACTTATTTGCAAGGAAATGTGTAGCAGCTAGAAGGAAGAATTAACAATCAGGCCCCGGTTGTTTGAAGGTTGGATAGCGCTATCCACTCGATAAAACTTTATCAGGTGGATAACGTGATACGTATTTCTGTCACGTATCTGTGGGATAGCGATTTATTCGTGGGATAGCGATTTATCCGTGGGACAGTCATTTATCCGTGGGAGAGCAATTTATCCGTGGGATAGCAATTTATTCGTGGGATAGTGCTATCCACCCTTTGAACAGGCGGGCCCAGATCTTGGCAGTTGAAGGGTTAACTAGGCTACCCAAAAGTTATTCAGACAGGCTTAGGAGAGTAAAATTGTAAAAAACACCGAGTTAATTTTTGTTTCAAATTTTTTTTTGTTTCAAAATTAGCATGATAATCTACAAAAAATAACTTAAGCCTGCTTGCTTCCTTTCATAGAACGCGTACTCTTACAAAATAGCATGATCCTAATAAAATTGTGTAGACCTACCGGTGTTCTTTTTTTGCAGAAAGTTGTACTGCCAAGCACATATAACTTTTAGGTAAATATATTCTGGTTCGAAAGGAAAAATTTATCCTTTCTCCTCTTTCTTTTCTTTTTGGCAGGAACCCGAAACTATCACAGTGGCGGATTTAACAGCGATGAAATGCAAAGAACAGTTTGGTAAACAACCAAAATAGTTAATAAATTGACACTGATATTAAAATTCTGTTGTTTTTCCTGGCTCATTTAAAAGGGTTATGATTGTTAGTCACACATCATCAATAACAAAAGTCTTCGTTTAAGAAACGTAACAGATTTTAAGATCTTTGAAGAAATAGCCATGTAAGCAGTTGTATTTAAAGTATCGTGAATATACAATGTAAGATATTGAGTCACAAAGGTTTTCTCCATATTAGGCACATTGTAACTTTCTCTTGTATCTAAACGCAGTCGATTCTATTCGTTACGCTCGTATTATCATTCAACTGAAGAAATAACGTACGAATCGAGTACAAGTATCACGCGAGGTTTGTGCTCCGGATAACTGCGAAAAATATCGGCGAAATTTGCAGCACTGAATAACAATTTGGCGTTTTGGATAATAAATCTCGCAAAACTCGTAAAAATACTCAGTGATACTACACAATATTTAATCCTTGGTCTACTTGGTGCAAGTGTTCAACGGGCGAGCGAGCGTTTG